CCCTGTGTTGTCTCACACTGCACTATGAAACTGGCAGGCTCGTATGAGGATGACATTCTGCTATTCCAGAACTACTGATGAGCTGCCAGAAAAGAAACTGTAATCAAGTTTATACAAAACACCTGCTTCCACTAAAAATGTTTCTTCCATTCAGTGCTCCCAGAGCTGAGCTTAGCTTAGCTTCCCATCCATCCATCCATGCATGCATACGTCATTCTTAACATCCTCCCCTGAAAAAAACAATTGTTTCAGAGAAATTGTCCAGAATAGCTAAGCTATTTAGGGGTATTTTGCCCCTGAATCCACTGTGGCCTTTCAAAAATCCCACCATTCATTGTGGTTTCTTCACACTTGGTTATCTTCCATTAGCTTCCCAAAATCCTGCCTTTCTTCTGCACCCAACCCTATACACAGGCAATTATAGCACAAGCCACTTGCAAGGCTATTAGAAGCAAAAAACCCCAAAATAATGATGAGAAATCAATATTGTTCCAATCAATTAAGGTTTTAAGCAATGAATCAAATATAATTATAATAGTGTACCTGCATGTCGAAGGAGTGAAGTTAGAATTAGCTCTATGGCAAATGAGCCAGTTCTTTGCACTCTAGGGGCATCTGATTCTTATGGCCACGTCTGTATGAATGATTGATAAGTTCCTCTGAGGTTTTAAGGTATGAAACAGAGAAGCAGCAGCAAGGAAACTCCCCCCAGCACACGCACGTGTCCTGCTTCCTCTGGCTTTCTGGTCACAGAGAAAAAAACGTATAAAAAAAAGAGGCCCTCTAAACACAAACACAAACACACAAACACAAACACACAAACACACACAGGTTTATCATAAGTCCCAGCTGAGTAAGCAAGGAGTCTTTTATTGCAGTGATCACACACCACTTCTCTTTCAGCGCTGGTTAGGGCAGCAGGATGTTATGCCATTCGACAGGAAGTGGCAGGGTGGAGGAGGAGGGCTGTGTGAGTGTAGCTCCCTGGACTTTTTCTGTGGTGGAATTTCCCAGGCGGGGTGAGACCTGGCATGGACATTCCCCCTCCAAAGAAGATGGCAGGAAACCCCAGGCTGGTGTAATGCTGCCAAAAAATGGGTCTAGAAGTCACTGATATGAGATTCACAGCAAGAACAATGAAAAGGGCTGTACAATAAAGGGGTGAAGAAAAACCTGGAGTGTACAGTGTGGAGGGGTTTCATTCCTGACAGGGTCAGGTTCTCCTCCTTGCCCACCTCCTGCCAGAAGTGCTGCCTGTATGGCTGCAAACAGCCAAGCTGGAGGTCTTGTAGCCTTTTGGTGCTGCAGGGTAACCTGGGCAAGCAAGTGCCTGTGTAGTGGTCGCATAGGAAGCAAGAGAGATGCAGTGTCCACAGATAAAGAACAGCTCTAGCCTTTGGGAGGTGGAGCAGGGTAAACACATCTCCTTGGTGACTGCCTGGGTTTCAGCAGGACTTTGCCCTCAGAAAGGGCATGAGCTTCACATGGGCTAGCATAAGTAGGAAAGCTCCATACAGCCAGAAGTCTCATTAAAATGGGGGGGTGGGGTGTACTCCCCTTTGTCACAGATGTATCAGGTGTAAAACAGGCACCTTCTCCAGGAGATATAACCTTCATCACTGAAGGAGTTTCCAGGATTTTCCTAAGAAATTAGCAGATCCATCTGAATCATACTCCTGCTTCTTCTTTCAGCAGTGGTACAGACCAGGATTCACCATGCTTATAAAAAACAGCAAGCAAGGACAGACACCCAAATCTTCTCAGAGCAAACACACCCTGGCTTCAGTGCTTTTCAGTACCCCTTCTCAAGCGGAATTAACAGACTGGCACCAGGAAGGTAAAAGCACCACTTATCCCCCTGCCTCCTGCACTGGAACGTAAATGTTAAAACCAAACAAACAACACCCCCCCCCTCAGATTCTACCCTTGCCCTGCCTCAGTAAGCTGCAGGAGGGACATAGGAGAGATTGTCTCTTTCCGAAAGGTGGTAATTTTGAAACCTTCCCCCTGCAGGCAGGAAACTTTGCATAGGCTCCATCTTCCTGTTCACAGATGTATTACGTCACTGGAACATGTTCAGCTGATAATCTTGATGGGTTCAATGCTTTTCTTTGAAATAAGGGCTGTTTGCTCCAGCCACGCTAGGTATTAATTCACGCACTGAAGGCCTACAGCCATCAGTCTTGTCCAATGTGTGGCAGGGCAGTGCCCCAGCGAGATTCATGCCCTGCTCTCTCTTGCAGCAACTGTGGAGCAAAACATGCTGTCATCAGGGATCCATGAGGCCTCTGGGTGCCTTCACAAAGTACCAAGATGTCTCTGCAAAGATGACAGGTTGCAGCCCCAGAGGGGCATGGATGGCCCAACGCACACAGGCACTAGGAGCAGCACCTGGAGCACCACTCAGTTCATCCAGCTGCTCCATCACTTTCTTCCCACGAGTCACTGCCTCTTGAATCAAGGCAGCTCTGGTATTCTGGCTCCTAAAGCTATGGGGAGCACTTGTCATTTGGTGTCAATGTTCAGCACCCTCCAGGGAACTACTGATCTGTGCAAACAAGCAATCCCTGCTGCAAAGCAAAGGAAAATCCAAATATGACAAGAAACAAAGAGGAAACCAGAAAGGCAGAGTAACAACGCCACGGCCAAACAGATGATGTGCGAAAGGGCAGGGTGAAGAGTCATGACGCCAGTCAGAAACAAAATATTCTGGTAGCAATATTTGTTGTGCAAAAGAATAGGGACAACAGAAGATCAGGAAGAAATTTGTTGCGGTAGAGAACCTACATTTAAAACAGTGGATATGAAATTGTTTGGAATGAAAGATATATATACTGGACACATTTTGCATTCTATAAAATAATTTTAAAATCTGCTTGCTACTAGAGCTCTTGAATGTTTTTTATTGCATTTTTATGACAGTATCTTTTTTTCTTAAACTATTTTTCTACTTTTTCTAATGAAAACAAAGGCAAAAATGAGATGTAGGAGAAGTTGTTAACAATAACACAAATACAGAGATCAAAAATGGCAAAGATGGAGGAAGGGAAGAAACCATTAGAAGAAAGAAACGGCTAAAGACAGCAATGGCTGCCTTGCCAGCAGCAAGTGACAAAATCTCTGAGACAAGCTGATTCAGGCAGAGAAAGAGGGCAGGCGGGACTGGAAAGCGTGATTCACCCAGCCCAGGGAAAATCAAGGAAGGAGTGGAAAGAACTGAGCACATGATGGTGAGAGGGGAAAAAACACATGACTTTGTCGTGGTTCTTTCAGTGCAGGTACGTTTGCCATGCCACTAGCCTCCTGAACTCCAATAAACACGTCCCTCTGGAAGCTGTTTTGCAAGACTCTTCAGAGCGGGCTGCCACACCGTGGCAGAGCAATAGTGCTTGCCATATAACCAGTCCTGACTGCCGCAAACAACCTGCAGCAGAGATTGAGAGTGAAAAGAGAGAGCCCCATATCAAAAAAAAAGCAGGCTCTTATAGAGGGCTCAAGAGTGAGGGCACCATGAGAAAAACACTTGTCTATTTTCAAAGCTGTCCAAGGAAGGGAGAGAAAAACAAGTGGAATCCAGCACAAAATGTTTAATGGATGGCTGAACCAAAGAACGCTGACTGCCATAGCATGGTCTTGCTGTCAGGTCACGCAGTCTGCTAAGTTTTCTACACTGCAGGAAGAACTGACTTGAGATGGACTGTTCTATCCCAGTAAAGGTTACTCCTCTGGATCCTTTTGTGACTTGGGGGGAGTGGGTGAGAAATCAGATTTAAGAAAAAAAAAAGTCATGAGGACAATCTTGAGCCAATCTGAGAATTACCAAGTTATCAATGTTTATGTCACCAACTAAATTTCACTCTAAAAAGACTTGCATGTAAAAGAGCTTCATTCAGTAGTGTTCACATCATTTGTTTTTAAAATACAACTACCCAAGAGTTAGAAAATAAACTACCTCTAAGGCTGTTACATTGTGGCTTACGTTTTTCATGTGAGAGTCATCCCAGGCTCTTTTTCAGTGCCTCAAAGCCCTCTTCTGGCCACATCCGTTAAGGATTCACTAATCTATAAAGCACACACTGGCTGACACAGTCAGGATATGCCCATTATACTTTCAGTTGGGTTTAGTGATGTGCTCACTCTGCGTCTGCGGCTCATACAAAACAACTTACATACTCTTAATTCTTCAGCATCCTCCTACAAAACCACTCTCTCCCATTCCAGGCAGAGAAGCTCCTGTGCAATTCACAAAGACAGACTCCCAAAGCAGACCTACTTATTTCACCATAAAAAGCTTCCACAAGAGGCTAGTAACATCAATAGTGAAGGAGAAAACAGTAATTTGGACAGGATTTTAGAGTCACTGCCCAGCTATGAGCCAGGTTACATTGCTTGAGAGTTCAGATCGGGGTGACAAGCACCACAGTGAATTAACATTTCAGGAAAGACTCAAAGATCCAGATACAGGAAGATGCATGGGGTGTCCTATGGGCCTCGAACACACCAAGTGGCTTACAAGACAGTTCTCAATTTTAATTCCATTACTTAAAGTAAAAACTCTTCATAACCTAAAAAAGCATCAAACAACAGTGGATCTCAGCTCTGTCCTTCACACTGCTTTTTTAACTGAAGTGGATTAAGTATTTCCTGTTGGCTGGTTGCATTGCAAAAACACTCAACAAAGGAAGCCCAGGTTATATGCAAGCTTTTATCATGCCTCAGGCCTGACAGATGGACAGGAGGAAACATCAAGTGTGCTTCAGTGCCGGGTCTCATGTCAGGCATGTGCAGCTTGCACAGACCACTCTCCTCCAAATACACATCATCAGACAAAAAAAAAAAGAATCACTTTTCTAAGTGATCTTAATCTATAAACTATACTGTGAAACTTCTACCCTACACACAGGGCAAAAAAAGTAATAAGCAAAACTAAGGGAACTACTATGCAACTATAAAAATATAATGGGGGGGGGTTACAGGAAATAGGATAAACAGAAACTAAATCAGATGAAAGAGTTCAAGTAAGCTTGCCCTCTTTATTAGGAACTTTTTATTTTTGAGCTTTTTGGCTTTTTAAATGATTTAAATTAGGAAATAAAAAGACGTTAGAGCCTTCTTTGTATTGTAAGTATTTCAATAATATACATGGAAAAAAAAAATCCTTTTGAAAACAAGTTCTCTAACACACAGAGTTCTTCTCTGCTACCAAGAGATAACAAGAGCCTTGCAGACATTCTAAATATATGAGTATAGACTAAGCATGAAGTGATCTGGACTTAACAACTAAGTGCTTTAAACAATAAATACACATTTGTGATGATTTAAGTTTTTGCTATTATTTAAACTGTCATGAGTGGAACAACATTTTAACCCACACTTTTGCAACAAAGCCAAAGCAGAACCACAGTACTCTCACCGTTCTCAGGAATTAACTTCAAATCATTGGGTTTTGTCATGTATACATGGAATTGTTGCCTGTAGTACATAAAAAGCCCTACAAACCCTTCTAGTAAGCAAAGATCCCATTATTAAAAGCTTACCTCTAACAAGTAAAACAATGAAAAAAGATAAATTGAATCTTGTAAAGCTATAGTGCTGCATAGCAGATGGAATTACCAGCAATTGAAAACCTTAAAAAAGGGAAACTTTTACTTTTTATCCTTTCTTTTCACCAACAATTCAACTAATGCTTTTACTAAATCTCTAGAACAAAAAATCAGCTTAATATGGTAGATATGAAAAACAAGATTCTCAAAATAACAGGTGCAGAAAATCACCATGAATCAGCCCAATCCATAAAATGGAGGGTTTGTATCTTATAAATGGACTGCTCTGAAATCTTCTGATAAACACCACAAGAATACTTCTTCATTGGGATTTATTTATTTGAATAAAGAAATTTAAAAAGAATAAAAATCTCTGTATTGAAAGGTTAATAATCAAAAGGCTCAGGACAAGAATGAAGATATTAAAAAATAATACAATTTCTTCCCTTCAAATGAAGAAAATGGAAAGGAAGATGGGGCTTTCAAAAACTCATTAAATAAATTTTTACATGCAAAAAGATATTCAGCTGACGATTGAGAAGTTCCTTTCCAGTCCTGTTTCATATTAAGTAACCTGAAAAATAAACAACCCCTTAAATTCCTATTAAAATCCGTTTAGAAACTTAGAGGCTTAAAGAAACCAATTTAAAAATATTTTATTGCTTCTATGTTTCCATATATATGGTACATATATAACTGGTAATAAGATGAGAATAGAAATGAAAAATCCTTTATAGTTCAACTGAATGACATATAAAAGCATAGTGTCCCCAGCCTTCATCTTAAAACAAGAGTAAAGTCTCAGTTTCTCCCTTTCTCCCCCCTGTCTATTCCAAAGCCCAAAGAAATGAATTATTGGTCCTCATTCCAAATCAACTGGCAATTTCTCTCAAGTGCATTTCCTAAAAGTTAGTTCATCTGTTATTAAATAATTAATCTAATTAATCTAAAAGGGAGAGGTTCTACCAGAAGGCAATTAGACATCTTTGCTAATGCCAACCCTGTTCTCCTTCCCTCAATTATAAAAACAGTCAAAAAAATATTCTTCTCTGTTCTTGGAAGCTAACACCAATACAAAGCTGCTGTTACAGAGCAATGCTGAGCACTACAACATTTGGAGATGAAACACTCTGCCACAACACTTTCACACATGATAATGGCTTTATGAGGAAAACCAGATGGTTAGTCCACAAATGAAGTAGTTTCTTTCGAAGTAAAAGTTTGAAGTCTTATTTTTATTAACATTATTTGATAGATTTGTTATCCAGGATGAAACTCTTATATTCTATCTATTTAAAAAAACACAGCTGGAAAAGATGAAAAGTCATTTTGCATTGTGGTGGTTTACCTTCCCAGACCTGAATTACTGTGGTCTCTTTTTAGCAGAGAATAAATTTCCATTAGCATATTAAAGAAAGAAATAGTTACCTAAAGCTAATGTATGAACAAATCTATGTGAATCAACTGTCAGTAGGAACTGGCAAATTGGACCTCCTTAATTCTGATGTGAAAAGCTAGGTAAAAATGCTATTTCAGTGTATGCAACTCCTCCAGTCATTTTAAAACATTCTAAAATTTGTAAGTTTCTAGATGGATATTATTGACAGTCTCTTACATCCTAAAAGCATTTACATTTGTTTTCAAAACAGTTCTTGGCTGTCCTTTAAAATAAACAGAATAAAACCACTGTTCCTGTGGTTAGTAGTAGCAGCTCTCTTGGGGCTCCAGCAATAAGAGCACAACCTTCCTAACATAGCAGCAAACTTGGCAAAGAGTAAAATGTTTCTAATATGAAGACATTTCAATTATGCCACTCTGGGCCACTACCAATTGGCCTCATTATTCTTCTTAGTTTGCTCACAAAGACTCAGCTTTCCCATTCTCCTTAAGAGTGATGAGCTTCTTCAGAAGCACTCCTCTACTGTTCTGACACATTTCTCAGCAAAGCAGATGGTAAAGACAAACTTTGGCCTGAGGAGGTCCAGAAATAAGACATCATGGAATACTGCTGCTTAACTTCGGGGCTGAATTTTCAAAGTGCTACTAGCTAAAGCTATAGACAGGCTCAATCAAGTGAGCAGCAGAAACAACCACACCAAGAGGCACAAGAGCCACCAGCTTTCACACCAGCAAAACCACCGATATTCACCAAGGGCAACTCTCTGTGTGCTAGGCTTTTGGGTGCAATTTTTTTGACCTTTTATATTGGCAGCAGTGAAGCTCATGAAGAAATCAGAAGGGGCACCATAGCATGGCCTTGGCACTAGTGTGTGCCAGTTACCGTTACCCAGTGCCAAATCACCAAGTGCATTCACATCACTTAGCTTCTCCGCACAGACACAACATATGAATGATGCAGAAGAGTAATTATCAGAAGCCCAGCTTCACAGGAACATAAGTGAAGAGCTTTATCTTACAGGGAAGGGAAACACTTTTATTAGTAAATGCTTCAAGCTTCAAGTAAGTGAGCCTGCAACTTGAACTTGCAGAAACTGCCTGAGACAGTGTCTTCACTGAGGTCATAATACACACATTTCTCCATTACAGACAAATCAAGAAGTAGACAGTGTACCAAAGCTCAGAAGAAATTCAGTAGTACAGGATATCAAGCTAAAATACTGGCTATTTGCATTATTTAGCAGCCATCTGTGAACACCAAAGTTGCCTAACTTGTGTACTCTATTTCAGCAAATTTGTGATGACTTAATATTATAGTTACTTTGATTTGCTTCCTTGATTGACATTAGCGATTTTGGTACACTCCCTTCACATTTCTAATTAGGACTTTGAAACAAGAACAGACACTGTGCTTCTCTGACATACATCTGGAGAGAGATGTCCCTCAAACACTAGAACACTGAAAGACTGCTCCCAAAATCTTTCGCAGACTTGACACACAATTCTGAGCAGCAAGACTCTGACAACAAAATCAGTGTCATATGGATTAAGCTAAGCATACAGTACAGACAACTAGTAAAGCTAATAATCCACGTAATTTCTTATCGAATCCTGTTGATTTAATTTAAAGTGCTCTCTAATCTCAGATATGAATGGTAAGGTTGACAGGAATCAGCCTTGCAGGAAGATATGGCCTGAACAATCAACTCCTCTTTACCACACTTCACAGCTACCCAGAGATAAGGCCACCCACTTATACTGCATGCAAGTACAATAACCAGAGTTCTTCTGTACCACCCAGCCTACCTCAATTGCTCCAACAAAGAGCAACTTTACTTCAGCTATAGCAAAAGATGACATAAGGGTACCTACTTGTGCTAAGTTTGCAAAGGGCACACGTAAGATAAAAATGCATTTATTTGATTCTTAACAATTATTTCTTTTGGGTGCAAGTTATGTGGCAGGTAGTGAGCCAGAGACATCTCCCAAGCATCCACAAAGTGCACAGCAATTCCTGAGAACATTTTTCTCATTACAGAATCAAGCTGAAAGGAATACCAATCACTGTTAAAGAGGCTCACTTCTGGCCCAAGCTCCTGAACATTGGCAGTTCTGATGATGATTGAAGTCTTGGGGCTGCGATCCAGCAATTGAATAATTGATCTCCGAATGTTCCTCAGCCGCTGAATATACACTTCCACAGGGAAAGTGCTGAAGTGGGACCATATAGTTATGGCTATCACTGTGTTTCTCCCACCCACTATGCCATTCAGTTCATTGGCAATGTAGCGCAGCTCACTGCTAAAGACTGTGGAGAAGCGAATGGGTGGCCCATGACAGCGGAACTTCACTAGGATATTGTGCTTCAGATCCACAGACATGAAAGGCCCCACGTTCTTAGGACTCCCCAGGTTAAATTCCACTAGATCTGAAAACCCAAGAGCAAGCGTTAGTGAAAGACAACAAAAGATATTAACACTATCAAAAAGATGCTAGGACCACAGGGCAAAATCAGCAGTAGATATGGAAATCTGAGTTTAATTCTGAGAACTCTAAAATGAAACAGAAGATGAGTATCATGCGTGTTTCAGCTGCATATTTCAGAGTGGAGTTTCTGGGTGCTGAAATCTGCAAGAAAGCACACTTCAACTTCACAAGGCTGTTCATGCCTTTCCCAAAATATTTCCTTCTCTCTCTCATAAAAGATATTTTCCAAATAGACTCCTTCAGTCATTTGTTCTCTATAAATCCCAAGTCCACGGAAATCCTCCTGGCAGTTTTAGGACTCCATTAAACTTAAAGATGACTTCATAGAATAGTTAGGGTTGGAAAGGACCTTAAGATCATCTAGTTCCATCCCCCCTGCCATGGGCAGGGACACCTCACACTAAACTGTATCACCCAAGGCTTTGTCCAATCTGGCCTTGAACAACACCAGGGATGGAGCATTCACAAGTCCCCTGGGCAACCCATTCCAGTGCCTCAACACCCTTACAGTAAAGAACTTCTTCCTTATAACCAATCTGAACTTCCCCTGTTCAAGTTTTAACCTGTTACCCCTTGTCTTATCACTACAGTCCCTAATGAAGAGTCCCTCCTCAGCATCCTTATAGGCCCCCTTCAGATACTGGAAGGCTGCTATGAGGTCTCCACGCAGCCTTCTCTTCTCCAGGCTGAACAGACACAACTTTCTCAGCCTATCTTCATACAGGAGGTGCTCCAGCCTATTGATCATCCTCGTGGCCCTCCTCTGGACTTGTTCCAACATTTTCATGTCTTTTTTATGTTGAGGACATCAGAACTGCACACAATACTCCAGGTGAGGTCTCACGAGAGCAGAGTAGAAGGGCAGGATCACTTATTTCGACCTGCTAGTCACACTCCTTTTGATGCAGCCCAGGATATGGTTGGCTTTTTGGGCTGTGAGTGCACACTGAAGCTGGCTCATGTTCATTTCTTCATCAACCAACACCCCCAAGTCCTTCTCCGCAGGGTTGCTCTGAATCTCTTCTCTGCCCAACCTGTAGCTGTGCCTGGGATTGCTCCGACCCAGGTGTAGGACCTTGCACTTGGCATGGTTAAACTTCATAAGGCTGGCATCAACCCACCTCACAAGCGTGTCAGGGTCCCTCTGGATGGCATTCCTTCCCTCCAGCATATCAACCGAACCACACAGCTTGGTGTCATCGGCAAACTTGCTGAGGGCACACTCAATCCCACTGTCCATGTCAGCGATGAAGATGTTGAACAAGACCGGTCCCAACACTGATCCCTGAGGGACACCACTCATTACTGGTCTCCAGCTGGACATTGAGCCATTGACCACAACTCTTTATGTGTGGCCATCCAGACAGTTCTTTATCCACTGAGTGGTGCATCCATCAAATTGATGTCTCTCCAATTTAGAGACAAGGATGTCATGTGGGACAGTGTCAAACGCTTTACACAAGTCCAGGTAGATGGCATCAACTGCTCTACCCCGTCCATCAGTTCTGTAGCCTCATCATAGAAGGCCACCAAATTGGTCAGGCAGGATTTCCCCTTAGTGAAGCCATGCTGGCTGTCATCAAGCACCTTGTTGTTTTTCATGTGCCTTAGCATGCCTTCCATGAGAATTTGCTTCAAGATTTTGCCAGGCATGGAGGTGAGACTGACTGGTCTGTAGTTCCCTGGGTCATCCATTCTCCCCCTCTTGAAAATGGGGGTTATATTTCCTTCAGGCCCCATGGATGGATTCTATCAGGTCCCATGGACTTGTGCACATTCAGGTTCTTAAGATGGTCTAGAACCAGATCCTCTCCTACAGTGGGCCCAGGGTATCAATTCTTACAGTCCCTGCGTCTACCTTCCAAGGCCTGGGTGGTGTGGTCAGAGCCTTTGCCAGTGAAGACTGGGGAAAAGAAGTCATTAAGAACCTCAGCCTTCTCCAAATCCAGGGTAGGCAGTTCTCCCTATAGCTTCCTGAGGGGGCCTATGTTGTCCCTAGTCTGTCTTTTACTCACTACGTACCTATAGAATCCCTTCCTGTTATCCTTAACGTCCCTAGCCAAGTTTAATTCTAATTGGGTCTTAGCTTTCCTAACCTGGTCCCTAGTTTTCCAGACAACATCCCTGCATTCTTCCCAGGCTGCCTGTCCTTTCTTCCACCTTTTATAAGCCTCTTTTTTCCCCTCGAAGTTTCCTCAGCAGCTCCTTATCCATCCAAGGAGGTCTCCTGGCCCTCCTGCTGCACTTCCTTCTAGTTCGGATGCAACACTCCTGAGCTTGTAGCAGGTGATCCTTGAATATCAGCCAAGAGTCTTGGGCCACCCTGCCCTCTAGGGCTATATCCCATGGGACCTTACTAAGCAGGTTCCTGAAGAGGCCAAAGTCTGCCCTCTTGAAGTCCAGGGCAGTGAGCTTCCTGCACGCTCTTCTGTCCTGAGGATCTCAAATTTGACCATCTCATGATCGCTGCAACCAAGGCTGCCCTGGAGCGTCGTATTTCAAACCAGCCCTTCCCTGTTGGTGAGCACAAGGTCAGGCATGGCACCTCTACCTACAGGCATTAAGGAGTCTCAAAGTCTCTATTCCAACACAATTTAACTGCTTTAGGGGTAAGGCGTGAGGAAGGAATATCTAATTGGCTACTGAAATTCTGTTTTCAGGTTAAAATAAGGGAAGCACAAGAAAGGGCTCAAAACCAATCAACAGTAATGGAAGTCATTTTCTACTTCATTCTAATGTCATTCATGTGATGGGATGCTGCAAGGCCTTGCAAAGCAACCCTAAGTGACTTCTGCCATGCCCCCTAGGTGGCCACCTTAACTCACAGCTACCGCAGCAGTCCTTACTGGTGAAGCATGGACAACTTTGCAGACACCTCGTGGCCTCATTTCCAAGGCCTACTTGTTTCCAGTGTCTGCTTTAACATTTGACTAAATGCCTATCTACCAGTACTCCCAGTAACGTTTTGTCTTTCTTCTTCCTTTACATTGTCATCCAGTAATATCAACTTTGTGTTTGAGATGTGAAAAATAAAATTATGCAAAGTTCTGTAAGGACAAAACGAAATGAAGAAAAAAAAATAATAAATTAACCTGGAACAAATGCTGTCAGATATTCAAACCACTGCCTTATTGTAGAGTCTCCAAACAGGTGGATTACTTTTCCTTGTAAGCACTTGGTTATATCATCTGACTTGTTAAAATGATGGATCCAATGTGTTCTGGACCTCCACTGATCTTCATAATAATAACCAGCAGGTGAAGCCATAGAATCTTCAGCTCTGTCTACACTGCTTGAATCTGGAAGAGAAAAGTTCTTTAAAATTATGTACAGGAAAAACCAGCCTCCGTAACCTTCATGGACATATTGCCAGTGGTGTATGAACATCTTTCCTAGTTTAAAGCAAATTAGTATGATGTATCACACAGATTAAAAAGCTTACAGAATCACAGATTCATAGAACAGCTTGGGTTGGAAGGGACCTTCAAAGCTCACATAGTCTAACCATCCTCCAATGAGCAGGGACATCTTCAACTAGATCATGTTGCCAGGAACCACATCCAGCCTGGATGCATCACAGTTCTGAAGCCTGATGCATCACACTTCTTTAAGCTCCAGTATTTCACCCCTTCTGCAGCAAAACCTGCAGGAAAACCAGGCCGAGTTGGCTGAACTATTACAATTTCACTCCTCTCACGTTACATGGTGTCCCTGATAAAGTACAAAGTAGTGAGTACCTGTCACCTTCCACAATTGGACAGAAACGCTCAAGGGTGGGTGCTTGCAGAGGGTACAGAGCAGCAGGGACCTCCGTGCAGCGGCGCTCTGCTGTCCCCCAGCGGCCATCCTGCCGCCAGCAGCGCGGCCCACCAACCCCAGCGCGACAGCCAGAGACCACTCAAAACACAAACAACCGAACAAAATAAGCCTGTCCATGGAATTACACATACACACACCGACACTCCTGCTCTGACCACACAGGCTGCAAGAGTGAAGTCTGGATTGTAAGGACTCCAAAGCTTGGAAATGCCAGAATTAAAGCTGTGACCAAGCATTGTTTTATGTGTCCTTTGAATGTATGAATTACAAGTCTCTAATTCCCTAGATTTCCTACTTTCTCTCTGCTACCTAGCCCCTTCCCTTTTTACTGCCCACGATAGGTGGCCCCCTGAGGAGTAATGAGACTACCCCAGGGAAGCTCTATTCTGTAGGATGACTAGCAAACTTGCAGATGTCAGGCAATACCTTGCAAGCAAGTGCCAGAGATTAGAGGAAGAGAAGCTGCAATCTCATAGTTACGTCAGCCAAACATTGCCATGGCCAAAATCATGCCAGGGACTGTTGTAACTGTGTAAAAGTACATGCAGAGAAATTCCAAGCATCCTCTGGTAGATGCTTCATTATAACACAGGTATAGCCAAACTCAGTAAAATTAGACCATAAGCATGTTTAAGCACCCATTCCCAACCACCATTTTTGGTCTCACTGTGTGCAATATGATCTGCGTCTTGCATTAGTAGATGTTAACCTCCTTAGTTAACATCTACGTTTTTACAGGGACACCATAAAAAGCAAACTACTATTCTGTTTGTATAACAGAAAAGACTATAATGATGAGTACCACAAGACAAAGCACTAGAAGATTGTATCTCTGGATGTTTCTTTAAATCCGGCAACAGGGACAATGAAGGAAGAGACAAAAACTAGTAATGTTAACTCCTCTAATATGTATAAAACAGGAATCTTACAAAAAAAATAAGGAAAATACCTTCATACGATCATGTAATTAAAGAATAATTCATCATGTGAATTCACAACTTCAGTTCATTTGCTTCTTAAATTTTGATATAAAAATGATTGCACTTTTTATCTCTTAAATCAATTCTTTGACTATACATAAATATATGAAGATGGTACTAGAAAAACTTTTTGACGCCTCATGCTAAACCTAACACCAGCATTTCAAATCTGTGCACAGTACCATCAGTTTTGTTCCAGAATTCAGAAATTCAGAATCCGGATAGTCTGGATTTTATAGAAGAGAGTAAAAGCTCCAATCTGAACAGTTACAGACCAGGAATAGAAATAAAACTTGTATTTCAGAAAAAAAAAAAAGTTAAAAATATCATCTTTATCTACATTTACCCTTAAACAGAAAGGTATGTGCAAAAGCAAGAACAGCAGAATAATGCATTTATGTGCCTTCAAACCTAACAAAGCCATACATCCACCACCGTTATACCAATGTATTAAGTTTATTTATTCAGAGACCGTTCTTCATAGACAGAATTTCCCCAAAGAATACTGTGCTACTGCTATCAACTCTTTCTAATCCAGCATTACTCCTCAGGAAATGAAGGCAAGCTTTGATCCTGAAAACTCCTGAAAGAAGGGCAATGTAATCAAATTTCAAATTTGCAGCAGTTTCTGTGAGGAAACACACAGGATAAAAAAAAGGCAGCAAAAAACATCTCATCTAAAGGATGTGAAGAAAGAAAGCAGGGGGAAATGCTGCTGGCCTAATAGCAGCACTCTTTCACTAGTGAAATGCAATTCTAAAAGCAAGAAATGCTGTAGGCTGTTTTCTGTTAAGACATTATTGCCCATGTCATGAACTCTGCCTTTAAAGTCTCCTACAACCTTATGAAAACACGCTTTCAATCAAGAAGCAATTCCCTGTGTATCACACAAAATGAGTCATACAGGCTTTAAGATGTATATGGATATGAATGAGATAACCCTCTAAGTTGAACTTATTACAGACCATCTCTTTGTTCTGTTTTTAGACAGTGTGTAGAACAATTAGATTCTGGTCCACAGCTGCAGATTGTGACATCATGTGGTTAAACAAATGATAGTAATGCTTACATGCAAATTTCCAAAATCTGGTAGTCAAAATACTTAGAGAAAGAAAGTAAGAAATGCCACACAGCTGGGTTTGCTAGAGTAACTTGAGATTTTGGTGAGCAGTTATAGTATGACATTTTATAACCCTGAGTAAGTGCTAGAAAAAATACACTTTTGGAGAGAACAACCTTTTTATTGTCTTTTGCTAAAAATTCCATGTATGTATGAATTTTAGTCAATTTTATTGTTAGAATCATAGAATAGTTAGGGTTGGAAAGGACCATAAGATCATTTAGTTCCACCCCTCTTGCCATGGGCAAGGACATCTCACACTAAACCATGCCACCCAAGACTACATGCAACCTGGCCTTGAATACCGCCAGTTAGTACTAAACTTGCATTGCAGTTAATGCCCAAAAACCTGTGTCTTCTAAAGACAAATTTAAAAGTTATATTCCATGCTATGAAAACAAGCAAATCAATTATTACCTTATGCCTATTATTCTTTTTATAAATTTAGTTATGCATTACAAACAAGAATCTTACGAAGTTCACTTTACCTGTAAATGCCTTGGGCTTTACTATCACTGAATCAGGTCCACTGGAGAGTATTGGCCTTTTGATATTCACATCACTTGGAAGAAAAAAAAAAATAAAATTGTGTAAAATTAACAGTAAAATTTGAAGGTAATACTAATTTTTTTTAAATCACTTCAAATAAGTAAATAAGGCTCACTAAGAACTTAAATTTAAATTCAGTCTACTCACTATAGCTGAATTCATTCTGTATTATTTTCCACTATCATTCTGAATCAGAATTCAAAATTTCATAGCACTAGAACACAAATCTTGCAGACACTTTTATCGGCACAAACCTAGATAAAGCTATCAGAGGTCTGCAAGATGCTTTGGGGGATTTACCACAAAGAGGGAACTTCTCAACTTGTGGTACATGTGCCACTGGCAGGAGACAAGACACTAAAAGGGTACACTGCTGCGGGAGCAGCTCCCAGCTCTGCCAGTGCTCTACAGGTGCTTATCACAGAAAAAACTTCTGCTGAGGTACTTACTGCTTTTAGCCCCTGCAATCCCACAGCCTGCTCTGCAGCACACAGTGGAGCTTGTGGCAGTTCAGCACCTGCAGTTCTAGCTATAGCCTAGGCTGGAAGTGGTTTCTCCTTGACCCTGGGGAAGACAGTAGTACCAGCTGCTGTTCAGAGATCTCCAGCAGTAACTTTGGTCTTCCAGTAGGACAGCAATTTGCTGAATATAGAAACAAAGCTTATCCCTTTAAGCACCAAGAGACCTCAGAAGTACTTGCTTGTGGACATCAGTGGATTCTGATCGCTTTGTGTTGGACAAATATCACTACTGTACAGCTGTGACAGTTGCAGAGATTTAATACTAAACTATTCTGTCTTTTGTTGCTGTTTAGAAGAGAATCCTTTTTCCAATGTTTTTTTCCATTTAAGAAATAAATAATTTGGAATTTCTATAAGCAGATTCAGTAAAGGATCTCAAAGGGGAATGAAACAAAAAACCAAAATATGCAGGAAAAAAAAAAATCCCACTCCCATTTGGAAACCTAACCAGTCAGTATCAGCCATATGTTGCAGGTGAACTGCCTGAGGCACAGAAAGTCAGAAGACCCACTTACAATCTTAACAAGGAACAGCGAAAAACCATTTCCACTGATATTTATGGTTGACCTCTGGCTTTCAGTTACAAACATGCACACTCTTTCCTAATTAAACTATTGGGAGCTGCTACTCTAAAGCCTTTCCCAATTTAAACCTCAAGTGAACAACCTGCCACAACATTTTCAACATCTTTTTTTGGAGAGCAAGGCGGTAGCCTACAGCTACAATTCTGACACTACACAGTAGCTAACTATGTCTAATTTCAGCTAAGGGTATATCCAGAAGCAGTTCTATCACATCTACCCAGGCACTAAGGGATATATTTTTTAAAAAATGCTGAATGCAGAAGAAAAAGATGTCTGTGAAACTAATTAGGTTCAACACTTCCTATAACATGCACAGATCATTTCCACTTTCAAAGGTTTTGCTCAGCAGCTTGTCCTACCAGGTGTTTTCTTCATGACTGTCCTAAAATTCTTCACAAGATTTAAAAGGAACACATTACATTAGATGCAAGATGGCTTTTGCTGAGGGTAAAAGCAATTGTTTTGTGTAAAAATAAGCCTAAAACTTGGACCTTTTTTAGGTAGCTCAGACTTGGCCAAAAAAACACCCCAAAACATCTCAAAGCAGAGATTTGTATTTGTATACTTATTTGTATTGCAAGTGTAGGTGTGCAAACAAAAGAAGGAAACAGTCCCTCAAACCACACCAGATTTAGATAGCATGCTCTCTAACATAGCAGGTGCACCAGGGTTGAATTCAAAGCATAGAGAGAGAACTACGTTCCAAGATTCTTTAGTTTAAGATTATTGTGCTCTTGGCACAGCTGAATGGAGGGAAAGAAACTATTCAACAATTCACACCAAAAACCTGCTCCTGCAGATACACACCTCCTTTAAGGCAATCTGTAATATTTCACCAATGACTGAAAGTTTGTCTTTAAATAAATAATACTTGGCTGATTATACATTAATTCAATAACACACATACCTTTGGAAAAAGAGGCTTTCTTCTCGTGTCAGAAGACCTTTTTGATATCCACCCTTGGCATGGCTGATTCGGCTGGCACAGGGGAGTTTTCGAGGCTTGTAACAGAACCATGGCTCACCCGTGTAGAGATCTGTGAAGTTACAGACTGGGAGACCTCCAGGCAGGCAAATATTACACTCAGTAGTTTCTGAATACCTCCCAGACTTGAATGAGCTTTTGAAATAGACTCTGTCAGGCCTTTCTTCTCGTAAACGCAGGAGGACTTGGATTGCTTCACTCGGATGGACAAGTGATACAGAAACTTTGACCTCCCCTGGCCAAAGCAAGGTAAAGAAGACTTTGTAAAGGCCATTGTGGCAATCTACAATCTTTCCTGTTGCTCCAGCTTTCAGCAGAGGAGAGTGAATTCGTGCCTGTAGATAGTCGCCACCATATTGCTTAGGTTTTCCTTGGAAATCCTTCATATGAACAAGCACCTCTAACTGATCACCCACCTTGAAGAACCTGCTGGGCTTCACAATCACAAAGTCACTATGTGCGGGATCAGTGCTTTGTACAAAGGCAATTTTGCTGTTAGGCAACTTTGGCCACTGTATTGCAGCAAGCAATGATTCCTGTTCTACTTGTTCTCTTTTGGACAAAGTCTGCTGCTTATAACCACAATAAGGTTTCCTGGCAGTTTTAGTTGTCTGTGATAGAGAACGCTCAACATTGTTTTCTGTTATCCAATTTGATCCTGAAACTGTGTCATCATCCAGGTGCTGAGGAGGAAAAAGATTACCTGAAACTGTGCTGTTAAATGAAACACTATGAATAACGGATGCTTTGTCACAAAATGATACCAAGAACTGGGCTTTGCTTATAGAGATTCACATGTGACCAAATGAAGCAATTTTAACAGGAGACACAAATCTATTGCTTTGACCATGGGCAAAGAAACAGGTGGTCAACCTGTGGTCACCTGGCAAAGAGGCTTTAATATATAAATCAGGTCAAATCTTTTCTGTGGCAGTATTTTGAATACCAGTATATTCTGTAAATATCATCAATCTAGAAAAAATTACAAAAGGTTGTATAATTAAATAGTAAATTGTAACTCATGTTTAATTTTCTTACTGTAGCAATATTATAGTCTTTGAGCACGATGAGTTCTAATAGCTGCCCAATACAATGCAAGGAAATAGGGTTTGAGACATTACAACACGGATGAAGCTAAGGTACCCCCTGCACATGCCTTCCAGATTAGCCTGTTGCATGTAGCAGCTGCAGTCACTTATCTGCTTACATTCACATTGCTTCCTATCTAATTATTTGAAATGTGGAATTCCCTGTGATGTACAGATTGAAAGAAACAGAAGAAGGAATGCTTCAGGGGCAATGAGTTCATGAAGTGGTGGGCAAGTAAAATAGTCTGGGACAAGCTAGGACTAAACAGGAAAAAAATATTTATATTTAAGATTTTAAAAATCTATATACAGCTTCCTCTAGAATCAAATGAAACACAATCAAAGCATTCCCTAATCCACACAAGAGTTTAAAAACTAAAATAGTTAAAACAGGGCTAGACTAAGAGAGATGACTTCTGCTGTGATTTGAGATCAGTGTCCAAAAAAATGTATTTTCATGCAAATGACTGCATAGCACAGTCTAAGACTCCAGAGTAATCTGTGAGATTTCTAATCAACAAATCCAAATTTACACCTCATATATGCACAAAATTACAGTCAATGAGTACTTAATTATCAGGTATGTGTTGCAGAGCTTTATTCATACTTGCGTGTCATAGAGAAGCAAACAATTTTTCAAGTAAAGGTTAAAATTATACAACATACCATTCTCATGGCATCAGAAAATATGCCAGTTTTAAATTTCTAGAAAAAAAAAAAATTCTAAAAAAAACCAAACCATACTATTTTATTTGTTTAAAAAGATCATTGTACATACCAATATCCTAGTGTTTTCTGTTTACTTCCTCCACAACTAGCTGCCCAGTAATGTACTAAAATTCCCAGCATTTACGTTAAAGCCATAACAATAAGTTATAAACCTTTCTTAGTCCATTGAAATATCATTTACATGTACAGACTAGGTAGTTTCCTCCTGCTGCTACATTTTATTTGACTTTGTCAGTATATTAAAGGCATTTGAACAACATAGAGATTCAATACATTTTTTAGAGGAAAAATAAACCTAACAAGCAATAGGAATGCACAGGCTTTTGAAGCCTGTTACATAAGAAGCTGGTTTTGACCAGGTTAAGAGGATGAGTACACTAGGATGCAGGATGGATACACAGAATTTTCTCTGTTTAATATCCATACTAACTATAAAACCTGAAACTGTAAATTGCTACATTTTAACTATGAAATATAAATTGACAGGTATTCACAGATCTGTATTCACAGACATTATTATCATAACAGAAGCTTTTACTTCTCTTTTACATTTCCAACCAGGATGGAATAAACTTTCCCTGAAGGCCATCTGAGGTAATTTGTAATTATTTCTATTTTTCAGCAGAGCAGGCAAAAATGAGAATGTATCACTGCACATTACTTTATTAATTCAGTTAATTTCAGGCAGAGCTAAGAATGAATTTTGGGCACAGTTCTACTTTAAATCTTGCCTACATGCATTCTCAAATTAAGCCAAGTTTCTATTTTTGGATACCTTTACAACTTCTTCCTTCCACTTGCTCATGCATATACATAACACAAATATTGCCGCATGAAAATATTTTTTAAAGTTTGTTATATTTTTTCTGTGTGTGTCATAAATTCTTGTGTTCATTGTAAGCTCTCAAGAGACAGTTTCTGTATTTCAGTTGGTTATTCAGTGGTTGTTATTTCAGGTCGGGGGAATAAGGAAAAAAATCCTCTCAAATGCAGGAAAGCGATAGCTATATAAGGAGGCCTTAAAACCAGACCTATCATTATATTTTACCATCTATACATTTCTTCAGGATTTTTAACCCAGTCTTTCTGTCAGAGACACAGACAATGTCTTTCATGGCCTTGCTAGCCTTTCTGAAGTCTTTCCAAGGGCATACCTATATCTTTTAGTGGAAAAGGGTGCAAAGAACACCAAGACAACAAACTCATGCATTCAAAAAACAGAGCAGAGAACATAGTTCCATGTCTCTAAAACAATTTTCCTACACAGTCTTCTTAGCAAAGCACAAGGCCAAAACTCTTCATTTGTATTTAGCCACTGTTCTAGACAAGCACTGTCACTTCAAGTCCAGCATCTGAGGTTATGCCCCACTAAGCAGAATAGATCATACCACAAATATTTCCTCAGTCACTCTTAAAGGGGAAGAGAAAACCAAAAAATCTCTATGAAGGTAAAACTACAGCTGATTCAACATCTTGAAGGACCATTCTTTCTCTAACCTCCATGTTCATCTTTACACCCCTCTCCCAAGCACAAAAAAGGACCATGCATTATTGCAGAATGCAATAATACAGCTTACATGTGACAGTAAGATACACCATGTACACTATTCACAGGAGAAACTACTATAATTATAGAGATTCAAGATTCCTTTTCCCAGTTAAGGCAGGGAAAGCTTCAGAGTCAATATACCAAAGATCCTCAACTAGAATAGAAAAGCTTTCTAAACCACCTTCTGTTTTTAAGTGCTTCCCAGGCTCATCTCCACACAAGTGCTCATGTTCTCCTACCCCTGTGGATACACACGGCTTGCCTAGAGGCAGATTAATAGCTTAGTCTGTCCTCACTCCATTACCTATCTGCTCTTTCACTGATATTTCCAAATCTCTCTGGCTCTTGTAAGTTAAGAAGTCATACTGAGCCCTGTGGAGACAGTGTTCTCACGGGAGAATGGATAATTGGTACATAAACTCTGAATAATCATGAAAGATACAGCAAGGCCGTGAGAGGCCCAAGGAAGCTTAAGCAAGCAAGATAAGAAGAAGCTAGAATTCACTGAGGTAATGAGAACTGTGGACTGTTGGCAAGCTTTCAAGGTCAAGTTCCCACACCTGTGCTTAACCAATTATATGCTAGTTGCAAAGGGTCTTCACGACATGTATCCAATCATAATATGCCAAATTACTGGAAGTGCATGTAAGAAATAGTATTTAAGGGGTTAAGGCTTTGTAATAAACGGCTTTTGTCTAATCATATTGATCTCTGACTGAGTCCATGTATTTTCTGCGGCAAATGGCGCCCAAACACGGACCCCCCATATTTTTCATATTGAAACTGAAGGAATTAAAGCGCGTGGCACCGAAGAAAGTGGAAAACGCGGAGCCGCAGGGACGTCGGCTGGGTTCGATCCGGCAGGACCAGGATCGGGAGGTAGTCGCCTCGGAACGGAGCCTAGTGAGCCCGGAAGACACTGCGCAGTGGAAATAAGGGGTCTGGAAGAGGGTTAGGATGGGGAATCAATTAAGTAAAGAAAAAATGGTCATCCTTAAGCTCTTCCAGCATATCCTCTCAGTAAGAGGGATAGAATATGACGATAATCTGTTAAAAAGATTGTTGCTCTGGAGTAAAGAAAAAGAGCTGATCAAGGGGGTTAATGAAGCTTTTGATCTCGGGACTTGGAAAAAAATTGGGGCATGCCTGTGGGATCAAGTTACTTGTGGGTTTAAGGAGGCTGCCCCCTGGTTACTACTAAAAGGGACTCTAGCCGCAATGAAGGCTGAGAAACAGGCGGCAAAATCCGTTTTTACAGCTCTCTCTGACTTGCCTTCACAACAGCAGGACTTGGCACCTACATTAGATTCAGCACCCGGTGCTACAGCCATGGTAGTGTCGTCTGTTTCTGGCATAAAACATTCTGGCCAAAAACCGGCGCGCAGTACAGTACGAAAGTTGGAGGACCCTGCGCCTTTCCCCTATCCTGTGTCGACAATGCCTTTACCAGCAGTAGCTCCAGCTGATACTCAGGAGCCAGTAGCGGCTACTGAGCAACCGAAACAAACTGATGTTAACCCTCCTAAGGAGGAGAGTGTAACTCCAAATAAATACCCACCTCTGCCACATACACCACCGCTTGCATCGCTCCCACTGGAGCTGCAAAATGAGTGGAACTGGGGGCAATGGACAAAATCCTTAGATAAGCAATTGCAGGACTTGAGGGACCGTCTGGACAAGTTGGGGGAGGAGAGGGAGCAAGCTCCAGAAAAAACGGAAAAAACAGATAAGATCAGTCCGTGTGATGTGCCGTTACCACGGACTCCTACATCTAATAAAGCCAATCCAAGTGCCATGAGATGGCAAGGCTGCATTCAGGATGCAATCATAGGCAGTACTATTTTACCGATAGATGTTCCCGCTGCATTCCCTGTTATTATAAATTCTCAGGGACAGTCTGTCTGGACTCCTATAGACTGGAAAGCTATGAAAGAAATTAAGGGAGCAATTACTCAGTATGGGTTGTCTTCCTCATATACACAGCAAATGTTATCTGCTTTCTTTTCTAGTAATGTTACTCCAAATGATTGTCTCAGAGTGGCTGCAATTTTATTAACTCCTTCACAGCTCCTACATTTTAAAAGTGGGTTTGAGGAGCTTGCTGCAAGGGCTGCAGATGAGAATTTAGAGTGTAATCCTCATCACCCTTTGCACGGTGTTTCATCTGAAATGTTATTGGGAAAGGGACAATTTCACCCTGATGATGTACAAGCTTGTATGAAAATTGAAGTTTTACAGCAAGCACAGCAATTGGCTTTAGCTGCTCCGAAAGCTGTGCCGGAAGCGGGAAAACCTAATCCTTCATATACATCAGTAA